GGGGGGGGGGGGGGGGTCCGTGGATGTAATATGCAAGTGGTTCCCGCGGACTCCCTGACGACCGCTGAGGAAGGACCCGTCAGGATTTTTAGAGGGTAGGGCCCCTGTCGATCTTCTTCGGCGGGAGAGGAGTCCCATATAACCCGCGGTCTCCCCCCGGAGGCCGCGGGTATGCGTAAAAGCATTTCCCCTGGCTTACAAAAAAAATAAAAAAAGGCCAGTCGAACACGCTATATGTCTGTTTAAGAGTCGTTCTACATTAGTTGCAAATCGTAAGGTCGCAAGAAAATTGACCAATCACAGTCAATCGTTCTCCTTGCGATCGAAGAAAAGTTTACTGTGATTGGTCAATTTTCCTGGGACCTTGAGATTTATAACTAATGTAGACTCGACCTTATGCAGGATTCACACCACGTCCAACGTCCGACGTAGGACGTCTAATATCCAATAAAAGGATAGCTTTTCAATGCAGAATTAAATTCTCTATTAGAAAGCTGTTCTCCTATTGGATATCGGACGTCATACGTCGGATGTCGGACACGTGTGAATCCTGCATTATAATACGTCAAAATCAGATAAATTCTTTATTAGACCTGTTCTATAATATTGTAGATACTTATATATATCGGATGTTTTCCAACTGCTTAACACATCTTGACACATATGTACACTCAGAGACAGGTATGGTGTCCCTCGGCGGGTCCGTATATGCCTGTCAAATAGTCGAAAGCGACAACAGGCATATACGGAGGGCGTACTGTACGTCTGACGTACAACGCGAGAGAAGCGAAGAAGGCACGTAGGGGAAGTGGTGGGAGATATTTCGATGTTGCATTCTTTTCGCACGTCGTCCGATCGAGAGAGAAAACATCAGCAGACGTGATAGCTGTTAGTGGTGTCCTCAATAGCTGTCTCACTCACTCAACGCTTGAATGCAGAGAATATGAGCGAGACAGCAATAGGGACACCGCGCTGTCTCTATAGGTGTCTCGCTCGCTCTAGTATCCATGTATCACGCTTTCCTCTTTTCTCCTTAGCAGAAATGCACGTTGTGCCGATGAATGACACCGAACGACAAAATTTAACTCTTTTGTTGTACGAATGTGAATAGTCATTTCCGATGTATTTTTGCCCGCTAAGCACAAATCCTTAGTTCAAATTTGGTTACCGCGTTACATTTTTGAAAAAAATACATTGGAAATGGTAGATATATTTCGTCATTATAAGGTCATTAAGATGCGCATGTAATATTGAAATATTAAGATCTTTACAAAGAATGAATTTTGCCGACATATGAAAAAAATCATCTGATGCTATAAACATTTCAGTAATATTGCCGCATATTCTGATGTCAATGGTAATGGACAAAAACATTTCACAATTTGACAAATCCTATATATAGCATGTGCCATAGGCAGCCTACGACGCGTGGTACCAAGCGACCCAAGCATCACATCTTTGCCTTAAATGCAGTCTATAGCTATCTCACTCGCATT